GACAGCTCGGGTTCCCTGGAGGACACGGGCTAAAAAAGGTGAAAGAAGTGCAATTACAGGAGGTTTTCAGCACAGAAAGTTAATTAGCTACTAAATAGCGTTTAGTGCAGTTCAACGTGAGGAAATTTATGTTTTGAAAGCAAACAGATCAATGGAGAGCCGGTGGAACAAGCTTTTGGAGAGCCCGTGTTGACATTTGTGTACTTTGTACTGTAACGTCCTGGGCAGTTTTTCCCAGGTTTCCCCAACAAGCAGGAGGAATCGTTGGGTTTGTGTTTGCAGGCGTGTGGATACACTTCCACAGGAGGGTGTTCTGACAGTTCATTCCAGAAATTCTGGTTAGGTTTTCATCCTGAACGCCTGATACCTTTTTCCCTGTTCACTGAGGTCTCTAAACTGATTCTGTTCTAGCTCTTTGAGGCATGGGAACTTCAAGTTCCAAATATTTTCAGCCAAAGGGTGAATTTAACACAGTTCTTAGCCTAGTTTAGTGATGGGGTGTGAGTAGCTGTGCCACTGTCAGCTCCCAGCTCTGCGTGGCTGTGCTCCTCTGGAGCTGGTGCTGTGCCACGAGGGTGCTGCCAGGCCTGCCCCTCCTGCCCCTCCTGCCCTGCAGCATCGTGCAGAACACACAGAAGTATTTCAGCAAATTTTCCTTAATCCCAAATTGCTAATCTGATTTCTTTTGCACATCTTTTATATATCACCAAAGTCAGCACGTTTCACAACTCGTTATATACGTACCTCGTCAAGGACACTTTTCTAAGTCAGAACAATAGATCAGGGTTCCAGCTGCCTGATGTTACTTCATACCATCACTACACTGAATTTTCAGGTGTTTCAGGATACCTTTGAACTTTTATTGATGGATTATTTGTTTGAAGCTATCTGTCTCAGACATTTCAGGCAGCTGATGCTGCCATGAGCTATTTCACCTTGCCGGGAAGAAGAGGAACCCAGAAGGTCAGTGCCTGTGGGGAATAGTGGGGAAACAGAGAAATGCTAACCCCTGGGGAGGAAAAGGGGCGTGTAATTCCCATTACATGGATGCTCATACATTATGATGATGCTTATTGTCTGTAAAGGATGCTTCACCAGCCAGGAGTAGCAGGGGCTGCAGGCAGAGCTGTCGTTAGCCAGGGTGTGATTCAGTGCTGTGGTGATGGAGAGCCAGCCCAGGAGGGTTTGGCCCTGGCAAGAGGCTCCCTGGGACTGGGGAGGTGCACACTGACAGCTCAGGGAACTGCCACATCATGGCTATAATCTTCAGCCCCTTTCCCCCCTATAATTACGTTTGTCACAACGTGTCGTAAAATGAGTTATTAGATCTTTGGTGCTGAAATAATCTTCCCGTGTGAAAGGTGCAGGTCTCTGCCCCGGCTCTGTAACAGAAGGAATCACTGGGTTTCTCTCTCTTCATGCTGTAGGTGTGTGGTTAGTGAGTTAGGACCCACCCATTCATCACTGCACGTCAAGGTCTCCCTTGGGAGCACCCGACGCCCCTGGCTCAGGGGTGCAGGAGGGAGGGGTCCCCAGCAGGGGCAGGACAGCAGCCTGGCACAGGCACTGCCCTTCTCAGGGGCTGCAAAAGCTCCAGGAATGCAGATCTGGGTCACTGCTGGAGCTGGTTGTTGAGTGGAGGAAAT